CGCAATAGATATTCCCTAACTAAAAACCTTTTATTTGTTGGGAAAAAACGGATTTGGATGAAGATATCGATTAGCAATGAGACGCCACGTCTTCCTTTTTCATGATTTAAAAATATCAATTTTTCGATATTGTTGACAATTTGGTGGCGTCACTCTGTAAACAACAAAAACAACCAGAACCGATCATGAAAATGTCACGGCCTGATAAGCTTCCTGTGTGATGACATTTGACATTTTGAATTTGTTTTTCCTTCTCTCTCTCACTCTCACTCACACACACTCACACACTCACACACACACACGCACAGAGAGAGAAGGAAATTCAGTCAAATTCTCTACAAGAGGAATTATTAATGAACATGTTTTTGTTTTTTTTAACATATACAAAAATCATAAATACCATAAAGTATTTACTGTAATACCAATGTAACTTCTACACATGACAGAATTATTAATTAGTTGGTGAGTAGAAGTGTTCTTATTTAGAAAAAAATAATGCTTTTGGTTTGGAAGTAGAATTAGTCAATTTACAGTGACATACAGCAGATTCTGTAGAATTTTCTGTAAACCACAAACAAACTTTGTAGTCCACAGAACAAAACCTGTTTGAGAGAAAGTCCAGTCAGAATCCTGTTTTTAATTAAATGCCTCTCTGATACATCTGAGTCACACCCCTGGACACTGACAAATAGGGCTGTAAAATCCAAAAACACATCTAAAGGAGCTCAAAGAAAGACCCAGCTGAGCAATGAACTTCAGGGTTAGAATTTCATTTTCTTTGAACTTTGAATATATAAAGTTTCACATCTTTATTCTTGTGTGAGTGTATTTGTGTGTTTCTGAGTCACCTGCGGTTGTGAGCATGATAATATTCACCCCGCTGGTGTCTCTCACTTTAACTCAGCGTAAAATGGATATTAGAAATGCTTAAGGTTGAATGGTAGCGTACTGCAGGGCGCACAGCGGAGATGTGTAATATGCATGGAGGCTGGCTGTGTGCACATTTATTTCACGCTGTAGCAACAACTTCTAAACCAAACACAAATACAGGTCATAGGAAAATCTTGGATAATGACGGATACAGGCGACCGAAATGAGCTTTTCCAGCAGGGCGGCCGGGCACACCCTTAGAGATAGGGTGAGGAGCTCGGTCACCGGGGAGGAGCTCAGAGTA